TTTTTTTTTTTTTTTTAGACAGGGTTTCTTCATGTTGACCAGGCTGGTAGAATGATTTCTTTTCTGAATATGCCATGCTCTGGACTGCCTCCCAGCCTTGGCACACACCTCTGCCTGGAATACACTTGCCCCCATGCTTGACCTGGCTAACTCCTCCTCATCTTTCAGGTTTCAGCTGAGACAGCTTCTCTTCTGGGAAGTGAGGTGTTAATCGTTGTTTCCTCCTGCCTCATAGGACCCTGAGTTCCCATGGCTTTCTGACCATCCCCTGTCCCCATGTCAGTTTCCCTGGATGAGGGTTGTCTGTATATTTGTCTATCTTCTCTATGAGGCTGTGAAGTCACAGCTCATTGACCTTGGTCCTGGTTGTATCCCACAATCTATAGTTGATATTCAGTCAATATTTACTGAATGACTGAGTGACTGGTACAAAAGCCTCCCCCCTCTGGACAAAGCAGGGCTCAACACTGTCCATCATTTTCCTCTGAAATTGGCTTGAACTCCAGCCTCATCCTCACCTGCCTTCAGCAAGTTCTTCTGGAGGCAGGCAGGGCTGGGGTTGAGCAAGCACCGTGGGAAGAGAGCACAGGAGACAGGACTCAGCAGGCTCCTTGGCCAGAGTGTCCCCCTCCCTTCACTGCAGGCCCCCTGCGCCCAGGTCATGGACACCCTCTTGCTACACTCACTGACTGTCACACTGCACAGCATCTCCCTTAGTCCTGCCTCTTTTCTTATCCTGGAGAGACACGAAGGAAACCTAATGGTTGCCTTTACTTTAGAAATATTGGCCGGGTGCAGTGGCTCACGCCAGTAATCCCAGCACTTTGGGAGGCTGAGGCGGGCAGATCACTTGAGGTCAGGAGTTCGAGACCAGCCTGGCCAACATGGTGAAACCCTGTCTCCACTAAAAATACAAAAATTAGCCAGGCATGGTGGTGTGCACCTGTAATCCCCACTACTTGGGAGGCTGAGGCTTAAACCTGGGAGGTGGAAGTTGCAGTGAGCCAAGATCATGCCACTGCATTCCAGCCTGGGCAACAGAGCGAGACTCTGTCAAAAAAAGAAAGAAAGAAAGAAAGAAAGAAATATATTATTTTGCTGGGCATGGTCTATGGCTCACACCTGTAATCCCAGCACTTTGGGAGGCCAAGGTAGGAGGATGGCTTGAGGCCAGGAGTTTGAAACCAGCCTGGGCACCATAGTGAGACCCATCTCTACAAAAAAATAAAAAATAAAGACAGATTAGCCAGGCGTGGTGGTGCATACCTATAGTCCCAGCTACTTGGGAGGCTAAAGTGGGAGGATCACCTGAGCTGAAGTGTTCAAAGCTGGTGTGAGCTATGATCTTGCCACTCACGGCACTCCAGCCTGGGCAACAGAGTGAGACCCTGTCTCAAAAAAAAAAAAAAAAAAAAAGATAGAAAAAGAAAAAGAAAGAAAGAAAAGACAAGACCAAAATTTGGCCAGGCGCAGTGGCTCATGCCTATAATCCCAGCAATTTGGGTGGCCGAGGCAAGCGGATCCCCTGAGGTCAGAAGTTCGAGACCAAACCTGGCCAACATGGTGAAACCCCGTCTCTACAAAAATACAAAAAAACTAGCTGGGCATGATGGTGGGTGCCTGTAATCCCAGCTACTCAGGAGGCTGACGCGGGAGAATCACTTGAACCTGGGAGGCGGAGGTTGCGGTGAGCCGCAATCGAGCAATTGCACTCCAGCCTGGGCAACAGAGTGGGATTCTGTTTCAAAACAAACAAACAAACAAACAAAAAAAGACCAAAATTTATTATTTTAATGTATTCTTTGGAACAGGTAACCTATGCATGTGGCACAAAATTCAAAAGATACAAAAGGATGTACGTTGAAAAGTCTTTCCTCTTCCTGCCCTGTCTCCCCAGAGGTCACCATAGTTATATTTTCTTTTGTGTATTTATTATTATTTTTTATTATTTTTATTTTTTCACTCTCTCAGCTTGTCAAGAGACACAGTTACCATTTTCTTGTGCAGGCCTCCAGAAACAATATATGAACAACTAAGCAAATACGGCTAAACTCTTTCCCTCTCAAATGGCAGTATTCCAACCATGCTTCTCTGCACTTGCTTTTCTTTTTTGATTTCTTTTTTCTGTTTTCTTCCGAGATGGAGTCTTGCTCTGTCGCCCAGGCTGGAGTGCAGTGGCATGATCTCGGCTCACTGCAAGCTCCGCCTCCTGGGTTCACGCCATTCTCCTGCCTCAGCCTCCCGAGCAGCTGGGACTACAGGTGTCTGCTGCCATGCCCAGCTAATTTTTTGTATTTTTAGTAGAGACGGGGTTTCACTGTGTTAACCAGGATGGTCTTGATCTCCTGACCTCGTGATCCACCCGCTTCGGCCTCCCAAAGTGCTGGGATTACAGGTGTAAGCCACCACGCCCAGCCTGCACTTTGCTTTTCTAAGTTAAAATGAAACCGTGAAATGATTCTAGGGCCAGGCACAGAGGCTCACGCCTGTAATCCCAGGACTTTGGGAGGCCGAGGTGGGAGGATTGCTTGAGTCCAGGAATTTGAGACCAGCTTGGGCAAAGTAGTGAGACCTTGGAGACCTTGTATGTTTTTAAAAAAAAAGATGATTCTAAACAAGAGCCAAACAGCCTCTGGTGGCTGCACAGTATTTCACTGTATGGAATTACATCATGACTGATTTAGGCCGGGCGCGGTGGCTCACGCCTGTAATCCCAGCACTTTGGGAGGCCGAGGTGGGCGGATCACAAGGTCAGGAGATTGAGACCACGGTGAAACCCCGTCTCTACTAAAAATACAAAAAATTAGCCGGGCGCGGTGGCAGGCGCCTGTAGTCCCAGCTACTCAGGAGGCTGAGGCAGGAGAATGGCGTGAACCTGGGAGGTGGAGCTTGCAGTGAGCTGAGATTGCGATAGCGTGAGACTCCGTCTCAAAAAAAAAAAAAAAAAAAAAAAAAAAAAAAGGTACATCATGACTGATTTAACTGGTCCCCTACTTCTGGGTATCTCAGTTGTTTCCAATTTTCTGGAACATGTTACATTTAAGAATCTTGAACTTCGTGGCAGGGCGCGGTGGCTCACGGCTGTAATCCCAGGACTTTGGGAGGCTGAAGCAGACGGATCATGAGGTCAGGAGTTCAAGACAAGTGTGGCTAAGATGGTGAAATGCTGTCTCTACTAAAAATACAAAAATTTAGCCAGGTGTGGTGGCGCGCGCCCCTGTAATCCCAGCTACTTGGGAAGCTGAGGTAAGAGAATTGCTTGAACCCGGGAGGTGGAGGTTGCGGTGAGCCAAGATTGCGCCATTGCACTCCAGCCTGGGCAACAAGGGCAAAACTCTGTCTCAAAAAAAAAAAAAAAAAAAGAATTTGAACTTCTATTATTTGGCTCATGGGTCAGCATATCTATAAGATAAAATTCTAAAAGTGGAATTTCTGGGTCTAAGGATATGTGTGTGTGTGTGTGTGTGTGTATATATATATATATATTTTTTTTTTTTTTTTTTTTTTTTGAGACAGGATCTCACTGTTACCCAGGCTGGAGTGCAGTGGAGTGATTATAGCTTACTACAGCCTTGACCTCCTGGGCTCAAGAGATCCTCCCACCATCCCGAGGTCAGGAGATCAAGACCATCCTGGCTAACAAGGTGAAACTGCATCTCTACTAAAAATACAAAAAAATTAGCTGGGCATGGTGGTGGGCACCTGTAGTCTCAGCTACTTGGGAGGCTGAGGCAGGAGAATGGTGTGAACCTGGGAGGTGGAGCTTGCAGTGAGCCGAGATCATGCCACTGCACTCCAGCCTGGGCAACAGAGCAAGACTCCATCTCAAAAAAAAAAAAAAAGAGAGAGAGATCCTCCCACCTCAGCCTCTTCAGTAGCTGGGACCACAGGCACACACCACTATACCTGGCTTTTTTTTTTTTTTTTTTTTGTAGAGACAGGGCCTCACCATGTTGCCCAGGCTGGTCTTGAACTTCTGAGCTCAAGGGATCAGCCCACCTCAGCCTCCCAAAGTGCTGGGATTACAGGTGTGAGCCACCACCACCGGCCCAGACACTTTGATTTTGCCATTTTATGGGTAACAAGTGATTTCTCAGGGTTTTTTGTTAGTTTTGAGACTGAGTTTTGCTCTTATAGCCCAGGTTGGAGTACAGTGGTATGATCTCAGCTCACTGCAACCTCCACCTCCCAGGTTCAAGTGATCTTCCTGCCTCAGTCTCCCAAGGCACATGCCACCACGCTCGGCTAATTTTTTGTATTTTTAGCAGAGATGGGGTTTCACCATGTTGGCCAGGCTGGTCTCAAACTCCTGACCTCAGGTGATCCACCCGCCTCGGCCTCCCAAAGCGTTGGGATTATAGGTGTGTGCCTCATCCCCTCAGTGTTGTTGACTTTACATTTCTCTTTTTATTTTATTATTTTTTTTTATTTTTAAGAGACTGTGTCTCACAGTGTTGCCCAGTCTGGCTTCACTCAAGCGATCCTCTCACGGCAGTCCCTGGAGTAGCTGGGATTACAGGCATCTGCCACCAGGCTGGACCCCATTTCTCTGACTTAAAAAAAAAAAAAATTGCAGTGAAATACGCACATCAATATGTACCATCTTCACCATTTTTAAGGGTAAGATTAGGTGGTGTTCGGTATGTTCACTTTGTCGTGCAACCATATTTCTCTTTTAAATAACAGCACTTAGAGATGCCAACTTCGTGCCAGGCCCAGTTTGGGACACTAGGAACTCCCAGATGAATCAGCCGCTCCTGTGGAACTCCCTGCTGGTGGGGGAGGCACTGGCGAAACGGTGCTGAGCGGAGTCCTGACGGCGCTGGAGCTGAGGGGCAGTGTGGGATGCCCCAGGAAGGTTCCTAGGAAGAGGGGAGCCAGGGTGACTCCCTAAGGAAACGCCGGTCCCAGGTAGAGGAGCGCATGTGAGCCAAGATCCTTAGGACTGAGCCGTCTAGGTGTGTCCCGGGAACTGCAGGAAACGGTTGGGTGAGTCAGTGGTGGGCAGCGGGGGTGATAAGCCCTTTCGTGTTTTCGGGATGGTAAGTTTGGGGCACAGGTGAGTGAAGACCGAAGGCCAGGGGTGGACTGACACTTCGTGGTAGGCGCAGGCCAGGGCAGGGGGGCGGCTTGGGGGTGGCAGGGTTTGGGTGAGAAATGGCAGCACATGGGGAACGAACGCAGGGCTCGGGGGCCTTCAGAGCCAAGCCCCGACGCCCCTTCCCACCTGCGGGGCAGAACTGGAGACGGCAGGGGGAAAGGTTAGGGAGGGTGGTTCCTAAAGGAGATGCCATCCCTGGTAAGGGGACACGGGCCCCTGGGAGTTGGGTTGGGCCACAAGGAGAGGCCTGAATGGCCAAAGGGAGGAGGTGTGCGGGAAGCCGCAGCGTCAGACCTCTGCCTACTCCCTCAGATCGTGAGGCTCCCCAGCCTGGCTCGGGGGACCCCGAGATCCCCGGCCGGCGACAGCAGGCGGATCAGACCCCCTGCTCCTGTCCGCCTCTGGGTCCCTACAGACATGGGGAGGGGAGGACGGAGGCCCCAGCTCCCTGCGGGGGAGGGGCGTGAAGACGCGCGAGGTTCGGGGGAGATGAGCCGGCGTCGCCATGACAACTGGGCTGGTGGTCCGGCCCTGGGGACCCGGGAGGGAAGGAGGAGTAGTGGCCACACGCGCTGGCGGGGGCGGGGGCCCGGGTCTCCCAGGAGTACTTGGGGAACACCCGGCAATTCTGGCGGCTGCTTCCTGGTGGCGCAGGGAGCCCGCGTGTTTGCGAGTGCGTGTGCGTGCGAAGTTCTCCGGGTAAGTGTGCCAGCGCGCGCCTGGGGGTGTGCAAGGGTGTGAGCGTGCACACGTGGGCACGGGCGTGTGCGCGCAGGGGTGCCCGGCTGGATGTGTGCACACGAGTGTGTTCCGGCCCGCGTGCCCCTGCGTAAGTGTGCGCGCGCGAGCACACGTCTGTGTGTGCGCTCGCGTGCGCTCCCGAGCGGGCCCCGGGTGGGAGTCCGAGATCCCGCCCCCTCCCCAGCCCCAGCGCCCCTCCCCGCCCCCCCCCCCCTCCCTCCCCCCCCCGCTGCCGGCGCCGGCTGCATCCTCGCCTCCACCTCGCTCACCCCCTCCTCCCCGCACTTTCTCGGCGCTCCCTCCCTCTCGGCTGGCACAGCCGGACTCCGCGCTCTCCTCGCCGGCCGCCACCGCCCAGCCTGCGCCCGCCGTTCCCCCATTGCCTGGGCACCTGTTGGAGGCAGAGGCAGGTGCAGGGGGCTGGGCAGGCCGGGGGCGTGAGGGTGCTGGGGAGAGTGCCAGCCTGTGTGCGCTACGGGGGTGTTCGGCTCTCCTGCGGCTGCAATTTCTGGCTCCCCTGGGGAGCCAGGGGTGGCATCTGAGGCTGGGGTCTCCACCAGGGGCTGTGGTGAGCGAGCGGGGGAACCAGGCAGGCAGACAGGTCCTGGGGCTGAATGAAGGGACAGTGGGGAGTGGGAACCTAGAGGGGTGAGTGACACCTTGACTAGACCAGCGCCTGGTGCAGAGGAGGACAGAGCCTCCGAGAAACAGAGGCGGGGCCCTGCAGGGTCCCTTGGGGAACAGGCAGGCTCAGGAGCAGAGCAGAGGGGAGCCCTAGAGGAGAGGAAGGAGCTGGCAAGATGATACAGGGACAACCTGGAGGTGGGTGGGTGAGGACGGGGTGGTGCAACTTCGACTTCTGCGGGGAGTGGGTTCGCAGCCCAGCCTCTGTGGAGCCAGCGTGGGGTCTGCAGGGCCCAGGCCTCCTGCCTGCCACCGGCTGGCACAGGCCACCCTCTCCCTCGACACCTAGGAAGGGAGGCTAGTGAGGGCCCTGCAGACCGAGGAGGCTGTCTGTCGCCTGGCCCTCAGCCAGAATGGCTAGGTATGATGGGCTCACTGGCTCACACGCCCTCTCCCAGCCAGGGGTGCTGCATGAGGGGCCGCAGGGGCGACCGCATGACCATCAACATCCAGGAGCACATGGCCATCAACGTGTGCCCCGGGCCCATCCGGCCCATCCGCCAGATCTCTGACTACTTCCCCCGCCGGGGACCAGGACCTGAAGGGGGCGGCGGCGGCGGCGGCGGGGAGGCCCCCACCCATCTGGCCCCCCTGGCTCTGGCCCCCCCTGCAGCCCTCCTTGGGGCCGCCACGCCTGAGGATGGTGCGGAAGTGGACAGCTATGACTCGGATGATGCCAGTGAGTCTGGGGGCTTGGAGGCCCCATGTGCTGGTGGGGGTCTCCAGGCTTGCCATGCCGGGGGAGGGGGACGGGCCCTGCTGGCTGTGCATGTAGGTAAGGGAGGAGGGCAGTGGGGGGGGGGGAGGTGGCAGGGATGGCTGCCACAGCTGCAGTCGGTGTGGAGATTACAGCTTCAGCAAGGCTCAATATTCAGTATTTCTGCTGAGACACTCCACCACCCACACAGCCCCAGTTGCGGCCGAGCCAGGGACCCAGACGCACACACGCACGGGCCCACTCAGCCTCTTGCACTCACACTCGCCGGCTGGCAAGAGAGAGAGAGACACACACACAGCCAGTGCCCACCTGCTGGCCTCTCTCACACACCTGTCTCCAAACCGACCCATGCTGCCTTTCCTCTCTCTCCAGCCGCCCTGGGCATGCTGGAGTTTGACCTTCTCTATGACCGGGCCTCCTGCACTCTGCATTGTAGCATCCTCAGGGCCAAGGTGGGCACTCCCTGCTGCCCCAGCCCGGGCCGGTTTGCGTGCAGCCCCCAGAGGGGGCCCATTCCTCCTTCCCTTCCCAGGCCTGCTCCTTCCTCCTGCCCTTGCAACCCCCTTCTGGGCTCCTCCAGGGTCCAGCTCTACAAGAGGGAGAAAGGTGCCGGGAGCCTCCAGCCCTCTCCCCTGCCCTCCTCTCCAGGGCCTCAAGCCCATGGATTTCAATGGCCTCGCCGACCCCTACGTCAAGCTGCACCTGCTGCCTGGAGCCTGTAAGGTAACAGCCTCCTCTCGCCCTGCTCGGCCCAGCCCGTGCGTCCAGCCCATGGGACTGGAGGACAGGTATTGAGAACCTTTCATCCCCACACCCCAGGCTAATAAGCTAAAAACGAAGACTCAGAGGAACACACTGAATCCCGTGTGGAATGAGGACCTGACGTACAGCGGGATCACGGATGATGATATCACGCACAAGGTGCTCAGGTGAGGGCTCCCCTCCCCACCACCCAGGTCCAGCAGCAGCTCAGGGACAGCTGACATTGTAACTGCTGGTTGGTTAATCTATGTCCCATTAAGCCTGTACCTCTCTGATGCTCAAGAACCATCAGCGGCTCCCTAGCCCCTTTGGCAGCAGGCCAAAATACTTCCCTGCCATTCCTGCCCCCCAATATCTCCTGCCAGCCAAGTGTGGTGGCTCACGCCTGTAATCCCAGCACTTTGGGAGGCCAAGGTGGGCGGATCACTTGAGGTCAGGAGTTTGAGACCAGCCTGGCCAACTTGGTGAAACCCCATCTGTACTAAAAATACAAAAATTAGCTGGGCATGGTGGCATGCGCCTGTAAATCCCAGCTACTTGGGAGGCTGAGGCAGGAGGATCGCTTGAACCCAAGAGACAGAGGTTGCAGTGAGCCGAGATTGCACCACTGCACTCCAGTCTGGGGGATAGAGGGAGACTCTGTCTCAAAAACAAAAATATCTCCTGCCCCTCAAACAGAGGACTCCCTTCTTCCAACTGGCCAGTTCCACAACTCCTGAACTTATCTTGTTGTTTTCTATCTGGAAAGCTCCTTCCTGCCAGCCTAAATTCCGCTCATCTGAGGCTCAGTCCAAGCTCTGTCCCCTCCCAAAAGTGTTCCTGGGTTACCGAGACTCCTTCTCAGAGTCCTTGGCTGAAGTCAGAGCTCTGCAGCTTTGGTCTGCCCCTTCCATGCCTTGAGTTCCCCTAAAATCTCTTAAGGAGTGAAGTCTTCAGGGACAGGGAACTTGCTCCGTCATCCCAGGAGATGGAGATGTGAGGAGAGTATTCCCTCAAGTCAGGTGGCGGGCAGCGAGACCCAGGCTCTGGAGAGACCTCTGCCTTTGTGCTTGGATTTGCATTTGGGACCTTCCCTGATGGTCAGGGCCGTGTGGCAGGGAGGCCACCTTGGTGTCGGGTGTGCGGGTGGAATGGAGGGGAGGCCAAGAGGCCAAAACCAGAATGAGACCTAAAAATGAGCGCTCACCAGGGCCCAGCCTGGGCTTAGTATTTTCACATTTCTTTCTTTCCCTTGACCATCTCCATTTACAGATGGGAATTGAGGCATAGGGTGATCAAGTGACTTGCCCAAGGTCACACAGGTGGCTCAGAAGTTGCAGGGTTGGGATCTGCCCATCCTCCACGCCACAGATGCCCAACCTGGTAGTGGGTCACTGCAGAGGCAGGGCAGGGGCTGCAGGAGGACAGGTGGCCAGAGAGCAATCATTTCTTAGTGAGTCCCTGTGGGGCTGGCTGGCTGCTGCATGCAGGAAAAGAACGGGGTTCCCGAGGAGGCATGGGGTCCTCGTCTGGCTGTCCAAGGCTCTCACGGCCTGTGTCTATGGCCACATCCACTGTGGTGTTTGGCTTCTACCCCCAGGCCCTGAATGGAGGCAGTGATCAGGGTGCTCCAAGATTTCTGAGGGCTTCCCACAATGGCCGAGCACATTCTGATGGACCAGGGACAGCCGGTTGGCTGCACAGGGAGGGACAGAGGAATGGGCAAATCTGCTTGTCCTTCTTAAGTGCCAGCCTGTCTTCCAGATGAGACGTAGTGTGTAGGGCAGAGCTGGGCTGGTTCAAGGCCCTTCCTACACCCCAGAACAGGGCTCAGGTACCCCAGGGGCCCTGACACTGCAGTTCCCCACCAGGATTGCCGTCTGTGATGAGGACAAGCTGAGTCACAATGAGTTTATTGGGGAGATCCGCGTGCCCCTCCGCCGCCTGAAGCCTTCGCAGAAGAAACATTTTAACATCTGCCTCGAGCGCCAGGTCCCGGTGTGTGTGGGCGTCTGCAGGGGCACCGGGGGAGGGGGCCCTGGGGAGGCCAGGCTTCCAGAACCTTCTGTTTGCCCCCTCAGCTGGCATCCCCCTCTTCCATGTCGGCGGCGCTGAGGGGCATCTCCTGTTACCTGAAGGAGGTGAGGCATCTCACAGGGATGGGGATGCACGTGGGTGGGAGGCGGCAGGGGCCCAGGCTGACCCTGAGTCTGTGCCCCGCAGTTGGAGCAGGCGGAGCAGGGGCCAGGGCTGCTGGAGGAGCGCGGCCGCATCCTGCTGAGTCTCAGCTACAGCTCACGGCGCCGGGGACTGCTGGTAGGCATCTTGCGCTGCGCCCATCTGGCTGCCATGGACGTCAACGGTTACTCGGACCCCTACGTCAAGACGTGAGCCCTCGCCCTGACCCTCTCCTCCCCAGGGAGCCTGCCCTGGCCTGAGTTGGGCCTGGCCTGTCCCTGACTCCTCAGTTCCTCTCCCTCCACCCCACCTCTAGGTACCTGAGGCCTGATGTGGACAAGAAATCCAAGCATAAGACATGCGTGAAGAAGAAGACTCTCAACCCAGAATTTAACGAGGTACCCAGGTGGGGATGGGATGCAGAGGGAGGCCAAGGAGGGGCTGAGGAGCCGGCTCACGAATGGGTGGCTGGCCTTGTTCTCAGGAGTTTTTCTACGAGATAGAGCTCTCCACTTTGGCCACCAAGACCCTGGAAGTCACCGTCTGGGACTATGACATTGGCAAATCCAATGACTTCATCGGTGAGGGAGGAGCTGGCTGAGGGTGCTGAGGGAGGGTGAGTGGCAGGGAGGTGGCCCTGACCCTGCCACTTGCTCCCCCAGGTGGCGTGTCCCTGGGGTCAGGTGCCCGAGGCGAGGCTCGGAAGCACTGGAGTGACTGCCTGCAGCAGCCGGATGCAGCCCTGGAGCGCTGGCACGCCCTGACCAGCGAGCTGCCCCCCGCAGCTGGGGCTCTGTCCTCAGCCTGAGTGGACAGCAGTGTCCTGGCACAGCCCTATCGGGCCGGGTGCAGTACCCAACCTTCGCACGAGTGTGTTGCACGTTTACACGGGGTGGGCTGCCCCCACCCTGCACTACCTGTCTTATTTTTGTGAATCTCCGTGACCTGGGTCTGTCTGCTCGTGAGGGGCTGTGGAGTTCTATATTCATATATGCAAACCTCCTGCCTGACTCGCTAGTCCCTGCAAATATGCAAAGCTCCCCTCCTCTGCACACCCGGGCAGTGCTGAGCCCGGCCCCAGGCCCCCACGCTCCTCGCTCCTGCCTCTCCACGCTGCCCCGTCCCTCTCCCCCCACAGGGAGGAGGTCGGATTAGGGGAGGTTCAGAGGAGGAGAATGCCTCAGAAAAAGAGAAAAGGACAAAAAACACACCCAGAGCCACTCCTTTAATACAGAAACTTCATTGCAAAAACCTAGCCCTGTACAGCTGCCCTTTTAAAGGGGTGGCCATCACAGGGTCTCTGCCTCCCCAGCAGGGGGCAGATGCTCCCGGCCACTCGTTTAAATAACTGTCCCCTGGAGGGGGCCAGAGTTTGAAGGCAGGGCCCTTGCCACCCTCCTGGGGGACACCCGTGCATGTTTACGCCTTTTCTGGTTGTGTCAGTGGCCGGAGCATGGCAGCTGGGCGTCAATAAACACCTCCGAGGAAGCTGGGCTCATGTGTGCTGGCACGGGGAGGGCGCCGGGCAGGGCTGTGGTGGGCATGGCATGATGTTGCAGTCACTCCGGGATGTCAATCACCAGGTCATCGTCCCCATCCAGGGCATCGTCCCCGCTACCTGCGTCGCTGAACATCTGCCGAGGGACCGTGCTCAGGATCGTGGGGGGGGGCATCTTCGGGGGTGGGAGAGGGGTCAGGGCTGTCCCGACCCCAGCCCCAGAACCCCGGCCAGGGAAGGTCAGCGGTCCTCCCACAGGGCAGTCGGGGGGCCCCACTGCCATCTGCAGCAGGGGAAGAAACACAGGGGGGCTAGTCAGGGAGGCACTGGGGCCTCAGGAGACCGGGCCCTGCCCCCCAGGGCAGCTCTGGGGACGGGGAAGGGGCCCTGGGCACAGCCAGGCCAACCTATGCTGCACTCAGGGCCTGCCCGCCCCTAGCCCCTCGAGCCTCAAACCAGCAAGTGCCTGGGGGTGGTGATGGAGGTGAGATGAGGGGATGGGGTGCCTCACAGGAAACCGGGAGGGAAAGGCCCGGCCCTGCCCTCTCCAGGGAGGTGCCTGGGCTGCCCTGAGACAGGGGTTAAGCCAGAGGTGGAGTCGGCCTGGACTGCTTGCCTGCCTTCCACTGGGCCCCGAAGGTGCCACCTACTGCCACCGGCTTCCTCTTCCTCCTCCTCCTCTCCCTCTTCTGCGGAACTCACTGGTTCGGTGGAGGGTATTGCAGGCTGCCTGAGCCAAGAGCCCTGGTGGCTTCTCTGCCCCCCAGAAGCTTCTAATATGTCTTGGATGGGCCCCTCCTCGGTATCCCCGCAGCCGTGACCTAGGCCCAGCCCTCCTCTCAGCTCACCTGGGCTGCGGTCCCAGCCTCCTAACTGGACTCCCTGCCTGCAGCCTCTCCCAGATCCAGCTCCTCCGCACTGCAGCCAGAGCGCGCGCTCTAAAACACAGACCTGAGCGCGTCACCGCGCCACTCAGGGCCTCGGGACGGGAGTGCTGCCTGCCAGATGACAGGCGGCCCCTCCACCTGGGCATCCTGCTCTATTTGTCAGAAGTCCTGCTTCATCCTCTGAGGCTGGGAAGTGGCCTCTGCCCTGCCCAACCCTTCAGCACCCCCAGCTGCCAGGTCCTCACAAACCCTCCCCAGAGAGCTCTGTGTGTCTCCTCCACAGTCCCCATGCTTTGTCTGTGGGCACAAACTGGGCACGGGCTGTGTGCCAGGTGGTTTAATGCCCTCCCAGCCTCAGGACACTGGGGAGCGGAGACAGGTCACGTGCCAGCGGAGGAGGCTGAACCTGGTGTGGACACGGAGGTCCTGAGGCACAGGCCCGCTGGCTCCTGCGGGGCAGTGGCAGTGTCCAGTCTGGCCCTGGGCTAGATGCTGGGTGGGCTGGCAGGAAATGCCATGCGCGGTCTCCAGTGGCCCTTCTGAGTGTCACATTTGGCCCTGTGGCCTCCTCTCTGCTTCCTAAGGAGCCCTCACCCTCATCTCCGCTGCTGGGGTGGCGTGGGGGCCAGGGTGGGTCAGGCCTCAGGGTATAGGAGGCTGGTAGGATGGATAACGGACAGGGGGTCCAACTCTGAACAGCACCCCCGCGCCCTGCACCAGGCCCCCACATGTACACGCGGGAGCAGACGTGTGTATGACTGGAAAGCACCATCCCCTTCTCTGGCCACCCCCTCTCCTTCCCCGCTGTGCGCAACACGTCCCACCCTGGCCTGGACTTCCTCAGTGGCATCCTCTCAGCCTGACTGGCAGCGACTCACGTTTCTCTGTGGCTTACTAGGAGCCAGGCATGGGCCAAGCGATTTTTATCCCTTCACTCACATTCTCCCCACAAGGACGCCACTGAACAGAGAAAGAGAGCTGTGGCTCCAAGCGTGAAATGACACGCTGAGGTCGCATGGTGAGTACTGGAAGAGCTGGGATTCAAAGCCAGCCAAGTCTGACTCAGGCCTGACAGAACCAACCTGCTTCTGTCTTCAGTTATCCCTTCTCTGCTTGGACTCCCTTCCTTCCATCTCCTCGCTCCCCTGACAGTAACAGACAAACTCCCACTTCAGGCCAGTGTCCAGGCCTTCCATGACGCCGCCCCACCTGGTTCTTCTTGCCAATTTCTTACCACTCCTGCTCTGGCCCAGAGAGTGCTTTCACTGTGGCCCTGGCTCCCTTCCCACCATGGCTTCAGCCAGGAATATCCAAATCCACTCACCCTGGGCTCACACGTTCTCCTCGCTGAGGCCTTTCCTGGCTTCTCCCCACCTCCCCTGACAGCTATGGACCTGGGCCGCCCTCCCAAATCTTCTCTCCAGAATGTCTAGAACTTTGCTCCCAGACACAACTCCGCTTCAGGAGTCAGCACCAGGCCAGAAAGCCTCTAAGTGCCCCCCAATGCTGCAGCACTCCCCACCCTGCCTGCCATCCCCCTGCTAAGGACCAGGGCTAGTACTGTCACCTCTGCTACTCAGGCTCAAGAGATGAAGCCTCACAGGGCCAAGGTCACACGGAGAAAACGGCAGAGTTGGGATTGAAGCTCCAGATCCTGTACTCCAGACCACTGCAAATGCGGCCTCTCATTCTGCTTCTCTGGCTCCAGAACCCTGGAAGCCACCCAGCTGGTCCCCATTCTGCTTTGCCCCTCAGCCCATCCCCATCTCTCCCAAGGCTCGAATCTACCACCAGCCTGGTGGCTTCCAAATGCGCAGCCCCTCATGGGCTGCTGTCTAGCTTCCTTTCCAGGTGGCACCTGACACATCCGCGGCCAGACTCAGCTTCCCTCCAAGCCTGTGCTCCCACAGCCCTCCCATCTCGAGGGAGGGAGACTCCACTCGTGCTCAGACTAAAGCCCTGGAGGCATCCTGGCCTCTCTCCTGCACAGCCCACACGGGGTCCTCCCGGAACTCCCACCCTCATTCTCCGAAATGGGTCTGCAGCCCCCTCTGGACCCTCTGCCCTCGGCCTGGTTTACCGTGGTGGCCTCCTCATTCCCATCCCAACTCACCCCACCGCTCACCTAGTCTGTTCTCTGACCACCCGTGTCTGCAATTTTGTTAAGATGCAATTAGATCACTCCTGCTTCATGCTTGCAACCTGTGCCCCGCCAGGGAACTGCCTTCTCCAAGGCTTCATTCACAGCGAATCCTGCACGCTGGCGCCTCAGGAGCTCCCCTCTGACCTGCTCCAGGACCCACTTACTTTCCTTCCCGACACGGACTCCTTCCAGACCCTCAAACAAGCCCAGCTCACACCCTCCCAGGGTCTCTGCCTGACAGAAACACTGCCCAGGAGCCACACAGTTTGCTGCCACTTCCTGTATGTCTCTGCTCAAAGAACATCCCCGACTGCTGGGCCCTAAGTGTCAGCCTCGTCCCCCCGGCGTCCCCATGCTCTGGACCTCACTCTGTTCTTTTCCACAAGTACCTATTTTTCTAGTATGTTTTCTGCGTATCTTGCTAGAATGTGAGCTCTGTGAGGGCAGGCACTGGTCTGCTTTGTGCACTGCCGTGTAAGAGGAGGTGCTCCAGGGGCGCTTGCTGGTCATATCGAGTAGGACCATTAGCCCTATAGGTGCCAAGCCTAGGAGGCCTAGAGGGTAACAGAGACTTGCTGAAGGCCATGTGGTTTCTAATAGGCAGTCTTGACTTGACTAGATCCAGTAATCCTGCCCTGGTCTGGGGCTACGTGGCTTCACAAAACATGCCCCCCCTGCCCAGGAAAATGAGCCTGGCCCCGCTACACTACAGCCGTGAAAGGGCGGGACCCCTGGCATCTGCATGCCAGGTCCCCCAAGGCTGGTTCTGCCCTGATTTGTCTCCATACAAGCCTGTGAGCCGAGATTTCTCTGATCCACCCCTCAGTGCTAAGTGCTGACTGGGTCCCCAAATTAATCGTTCATGATTCTCTGACAGGCCCCCGCCTTGAGCCTCCCTCAGGTGGCTCTCCTCCTGCCGTCCTGCCCCTCCCTAGCGCCCCCACGTCAGGGTACCTTGAGTTTCCGGGGCAGGCGGGGCCGTTTCTCCCGCTTGGGCCTCAGGGGGCTGGGCTCGGGCAGCTGCAGGGCCAGGTAGTCAGAAGGGAATGGGGGGTAGCGGGGGGAGGCCAGCTGCGGGCGGGAGCGGGGATGGAGATGGGAGGCGGAGTGGACCGGGGTGAGGGTGGGGAAAGAAATGCAAACAGGAGGAAGATGGAAAAACAAAAGAGATGGTGATGAGTGCGGCTCCCGGGGCTCCCGAACACAGAAGGGCCGGGCAGCAGCAGGATGCTGTCCTGGGCTTTGCTCTCCTCAGTCACGCTTGGCCCCGTTCCTATACCAGAGAGAAGGGGGCAGCCCCCACTCACACCCTCCACGGGACACTTGGGCCACACCCAGACAGATGTCTCCAAAGTTGGGCAGGCCTTGCCCGGAGGCCCAGCCCTTCTGCCCAAATGACGTCCACCTTACTCCCAGGCATATTAGTTCACCACTTCCCACCCCTGACCCCAACTCACCGAGCTCAGGTATGGGGAGGGGACCCCGGAGGCCTGAAGGGGAAACCCTGTTGAAGGAGGCAGGGAGAGGCTGGAGGGAGAGGGGGCCCCCCCCAGCGGAGGGCTTCTCTTCCTGGAGAAAGGACAGGGCGGGGTCAGAGGTGGCTGGGAGCCCAGGCGCCCCACCTGACCCTCCCCAGCGAGGAGAATGCATCTTCTTCTCACCTCTTAGGGGCCGGTGTGTCAGACAACTTGGGTGTCCCCTCGGTCTCGCTGTTATCTGATGATGCAGTGGCATCTGAGTCTGTGATGGGGACAGATGGTCAGTGGGGGTGGGGGGATCCCAGTCCATCCCAGAAGGGTATAACCTCCTCCACACTACAGAAGGGCACCGGAGCACCAGGTGTGGGGGCTCACGCCCGGAATCCCAGCACTGTGAGAGGCTGAGGTGGCCAGATTGCTTGAGGCCAGGAGTTCAAGAGCAGCCTGGACAACCTAGTGAGACCTCATCTCTATTAAAAACAAAAGCAATTATCCGAGCATGGTGGCGTGTGCCTGTAGTCCCAGCTACTCAGGAGGCTGAGGCAGAATTGCTTGGAGATTGAGGCTGCAGTGAGCTGTGATAGTAACACTGCACACCAGCCTGGGTGACAGAGCAAGATCCTGCCTCAAAAAAACAAAACAAACCAAAAACCCAACAGAAGGGCTCCCAGGGGGGATTCTGACTCACCAGCTAGTGGGCACGCACATGCACCACACACCTGAGCTGTCCCAGGGAGGTCCACAGCCTCTCCAGCCTCCCCAGCGCCCCTCCCGCTCTGATTCCTCCGTAACACACCTGCCATGCATGGCCAGGGTGCCGGGCTCCTTCCCACTCACCACCTCTCCTTGTCATCAGATCCAAGGAAGGATGGGAAGGGCAGCACCTCCACTTGTCACATGAGGTCACCGAGGCTCAGAAAGTAAGGTGTGAGGCTGAGACTCTGACTCCTTGGCTATTTGATGCCACTGGTTCCTTGCCTCTGAGCTGAGCTGTCTTCAGCTCCTGCCTCTGCCCCACTCCCCATAACCAGGGTCCTGTTCATCCACCCCTGAAGTCCTCCCCTTCATCCACTGCTCCCCACGCCAACTAACACAGGTCAGGCCACCAGCATGTCAAAATCACCTGCTAAGCAGTCTCACATCACCCTGCCATCCACTGTCCACCCCCAACCCCACAGTGAGCTAAAACCAACCTGGTCACATCCTTCTTGATGACATCCCCCACTACCTGCATGAATTCATGGTGCTGCTTAATCTGGCTTCAACACACCTTTCCGATCAACTAACGTAACTGTATTCTTTACAGCACACTGACCTATTTTGTCAAAAAAGAAATGTATTTCCTTGTTCAGTGCCTCTGCCTAGAATGGCCATCTTTCATGGAACAAATGACTGATACACCTATAGAAGCCATTACCAGTGTCTCTGCTCAGAGAGACCCTTTAAGAAGCAAATCAAATGCCACCGCCTCTGGGAAGTCTTCCAGAATCCCTCAAGCCCAATTAACTGCAGGCTCTCCTGGAACCCTCTACTCTCACTCATCATGGCTGCGCTCACACTGTGCTGGAAAGTGTCATTTGCATGTGTCTCCCTGGCCAGGGTGTGGGCCTCCATGACAGGAGTGGGGCTCATATTGCTGGCCTTTGCTCCTCAGATGCAACCCACTCTAGCCATGAACATGCTGGGTCCTCTTCCACCTCCTGCCCTGAATTCCCCTCAAACAGGATGTTAACTGGAAGACCCTAGGAAAGGGAGAGGCAGGGGATGAGAGGCTGCAATAAAAGCCAAACCTCCTACTATGACCTGAGTGAGCCCCTGCCTACTTCCCTAACCTTATCTACAATCCTCCTGTAATAGCAAGCGAATGGTTATCACGCGTTCTGACAAAACACTATGTCCCAAAACGTGGCTGGCTGCTACGTGCCGATCCCTGCCTCAGACCAATGTTTAAAGGCACCTTGGAGAGAGGTGATTCTACATGACATGGCTTATGAGGGCCCCACCCAGGAAGAGGCCCACAAATGCCCACCTTAGGGTTTTTTCAAACTGTGGGTCTCAATCCATTAGTGAGTCATGAAACCAATTTACTGGTGTGCAACCAGCACTAAAGGAAGGGAAAAAAAGCAATCTAAAGAGTATCAGGATGAATTGGATACAGTGATCTTAAAAATGTTTCACTAAACTCTGTTTTGTAGGTATGCATGTGGGGCTCCGGTTATGATGGAAAATATAGTTAATTGCAGACAATATTCAAATAAAGGGATGAAAACAGTGCTCTCTCTTTTTCATCCCTCTGCTTTTCAACCAAGCCTGGCCTGTTCTTACCTCAGGGTAGCTGCATTTATTATTCTGCTGGGGCAGCTCCAGCTCACTTCTTCACAAGGTTGGTTTTGGTTTTTCTTTTTCTTTGGACGGAGTCTCCCTCGGCTGCCCAGGCTGAAGTGCAGTGGCGCAATCTCGGCTCACTGCAAGCTCCGCCTCCCAGGTTCACGCCCATTCTCCTGCCTCAGCCTCCCGAGTAGCTGGGACTACAGGCACCCGCCATCACGCCCAGCTAATTTTTTGTATTTTAAATAGAGACGAGCTTTCACCATGTTAGCCAGCATGGGGTTTCTTTTTCTTTTGAGACAGTCTTGCTCTGTCACCCAGGCAGTGACACAGTGGTGCTATCAAGACTCACTGCAGCCTTGACCTTTCAGGCAAAGGATCCTCCTGGTTCTGCCTCCCAAGTAGCTGGGGCCACATGTATACACAACTATACATGGCTTTTTTTTTTTTTAATTGAGATGGGGTCTCACTATGTTGCCCAGGATGGAAGCCTGGTTTCTTATCTGGTCCCAACTCAAACGTCACTCCGTGAAAGGCCTTTCTTGAGTACTCTATTCAGACGTTGCCTGCTGCCTGCTTGCTGCTGTCTGCAAGCTAAGAATGGCTCTTTTTTTCTTTTTTTGAGACGGAGTTTTGCCCTGTGGAATGCAGTGGCAGTGATCTCGGCTCACTGCAACCTCTGCCTCCAGGGTTCAAATGATTCTCCTGCCTCAGCCTCCCCAGTAGCTGGGATTACAGGCGCACGCCACCACACCCAGCTAATTTTTGTATCTTTAGTAGAGACGGGGTTTCACCACGTTGGTCAGGCTGGTCTTGAACTCTTGACCTTGTGATCCACCCACTTCGGCCTACCAAAGTGCTGGGATTACAAGTGTGAGCCACCGTGCCCGGCCAAGAATGGCTTTTAACCTTTTAAATGTTTGAAAAAAAAAAAAAACTACAGAAAAAATTTTCATATGGAAATAATACAAATTTCAAATTTCAGTGCCTATAAAGTTTTATAGAAACATAGCCCTACTCATTGATTTGCCTATGGGACATGGCTGCTACTACAACGGCAGAGTTCAGTAGGTGCTTCAAAGATTGTATGTTGCGGAAAGCTTACTTACCATCTGGCCCTTTGCAGAAACAATTCATCAACCTCTGTTGTACTATAATCATTACCTGCTTTCATTACCTTCAAGTCCTTACGGTGACCTAAAATTCTAGTGTATTGTCTTCATTTACTTATTCTTCCCAACTAGAATATAAATTACAAGAGACCAAGGGCTTTGCCTGTCTCTGCCTCTGCTGTATCCCCTGTGCCAAGCACAATGCCTGAAACACAATAGGTGCTCAGTAAGTGCCTGAATAAAAGAACGGTGCAGGTGGAAGGCAAGCAACTAGGCTTAAGGACCACTGGGGGCTGCATCAGCTGCCACTGCCTAAAAGGCAGGGGCCCAGGAAGCTTGCTAAGTGCCAGGAACCACGCCCTCCACCAATTTTTCAAGACCTTGCTCACCCGAAGAGTCTTCATCCACATTCTCGTACTGCAGAAGTCGGTCTAGGAGGAAACTGAGGAGAGAGAAGGAGAGACGGACAGTGATTCCCCAGCGCAGCAATGTCCCCCTGGGCCCCTCACCCTCCCAGCAGGCCCATCGGATCCTTGAAAGAGCCATGCACTTGTGGCCCTACTCAGGGATGGGGTCCCAATGTAGACTGCCTAGGAACCACATCGCCCTCCGCCCCTGCAACGTGCCTCACCTCTTGTCCCGGGACACCTTCAGTAATTTCCTTTGCGCTTTCCTCAGCTCCTCCTGGAAGCACTCGTGCTCCTGTATCACGGGCAAGGGGTGCGCTGGGCCAACGGTCCTCCGTGAAGGGCCCTGGAACCGGCAGCCGCTCGCCCCACCCACTTTACACCTGAGTAAACTGAGATTTTGTCCGCGCCAGGCCTCCCCCCTCTACAGCCTTCCCGCGGCAGCACTCACGTAGATGAGGAACTTGAGCTTCCGTTTCAGATTCCGGTATTTCTTTTTGTAGTCCACTTCACCATCCGCCGGCCCGTTCATGACCGGCCCGGCAGTGGCGCCCAGCTTCTGCAGTCCCGCTACCCCAAGCAGGAGCTGCCCCGTCGCTCACGCCTCCACTTCCGGAGACTCTGCAAGGCTGTGCCACCGGGACTACAACTCCCGGCGTACCGGGCGCCAAGCGGCATCACCGCACGGGCCGCCCTGCCGGGATACTGGGAAAGGAGCGCGGTTGTGAGTGGCTGCGCTGGGGATGGCGTAGCAGTGACGCGGTGACGCCACAAAAATGGCGGACGCTGGAGGGTGCCGTTCTTGACTCTAATGTGCTTAGACACTTGAAGCCACAAAAGGATTTTGCCCCGAGGTTCCTCGTCTCCTCGCGAGGATGCCTCTTCTCTTCTGCCTTGCGAAATAATAGCGGCCTAGCTGGTGCCCGTGACCACGAAGGAAGGCAGAGTCGCGGGCTGATTACGTTTCACCCAAAGGTTGCTGGCGCCGAATCGGTTTCTAACAAGAAATTTTAAAATGATTCGTTCCAAGAAAGGGTAGGAGCCGCGAGACCCTCCAACTGCCCAGGGAAAACAAGTCTCGTCTGGCAAAGTTATCGACCCACGCGGTCCGCGGCCAAGGGCCAACGGTCCCTCGCCCCACGGTGCCGCAGCACTGCGCGTGCGCGAACCGCTGTCAAACGCGCTGACGGAGGCCGAGAAGAAAAAAAGGCGGGAGCCGCCAATCCCGGGTTGAGCAAAATGGCGCGGGAGAAGGAGATGCAGGAGTTCACCCGTAGCTTCTTCCGAGGCCGCCCGGACCTCAGGTGCCCAGGGAGTTGGAGATGGGGTTGGAAAGGGCGCGGGTGGGACGGGACTCCGTCCTGACACCCTGTCCCCGCAGCACGCTCACGCATTCCATCGTGCGGCGGAGGTACCTGGCTCACTCGGGCTGCGACCACCTGGAGCCAGAGGAGAAGCAGGCACTGAAGCGGCTGGTGGAGGAGGAGCTGCTGAAGATGCAGGTGTGCCGGGCCGGAGCCTGGGTCGCGGGAGGCGGAGGCGGGGCTTGCTGCTGAGGAGGAGGGGCCTGACGGGGCGCGGTGAACGCCGCCTTGATGCATAGTTCGCCCTCTTGGCGCACACACAGGTGGATGAAGCCGCTTCCAGGGAGGACAGACTGGACTTTACCAAGAAGGGCAAGAGGCCTCCCACCCCTTGTAGCGACCCGGAGAGAAAAAGGTTCCGCTTCAATTCAGAGTCGGGTTAGTGCTTCCTACCTGCTATGGGGGACTTCTGCATCGTTGGTTCACTCAAGAAGCATTCACTGCGCATCTCTTATGTCCCCAGGCGTTAAATGAGGGAGCGAGGCCAGTGAGTCAGGAACCGGGAACAGCGAGGACAGATAGCTGTTTCCTGCTGCCCCTCCAACTGTCAGGGCAGGGCTCGAGACAACCTATCCGAAGTGAAGGGAGAAGGGACAGGAGGAGCCTGTCTCAACCCTCTTTCCTCTCCATATTCCAGAGTCCGGCTCTGAAGCCTCCAGCCCAGACTACTTTGGACCCCCAGCAAAGAATGGGGTGGCAGCAGAAGTCAGCCCAGCCAAGGAGGAGAATCCAAGGCGAGCCTCAAAGGCGGCAGTTGAGGAGAGCAGTGATGAGGAACTGCAGAGGGACCTGCCTGCACAGAGGGGAGAGGAGAGCAGTGAGGAGGAGGAAAAGGGGGACAAGGGGAAGACTAGGAAGAAACCTGTGGCAAAGAAGCAGGCACCAGGCAACGCCTCAGTCAGTAGGAAGCAGGCGAGGGAAGAAATCGAGGAGAGCGAGGAAGAACCCGTTCAGAGGACAGCAAAGGTGGAGGGAAATAAAGGAACTAAAAGCCTGAAGGAAAGTGAACAGCTGAGTGAAGAGGAGGAGGAGATCCTAGCTGGGAAGAAAGAGCACAGAGGGGAGGAAGAGAAAGAAGGGGAGAAGGAAAAGGAGGTTTGGAAACCTCCTGGCTCCAGAGCCAGGAGCAATGGCGGAAGAAAGTCAGCTAGGGAGGAGAGGAGCTGTAAGCTGAAAAGCCAGGCCAAGAGGCTCATGGAAGACTCAGACAGCGAGGAAGAGCAGAAAGAGGCAGCAGGCAGTGGGGATGACAGTGGGAGAGATGGAGAACCCCCAGTGCAGAAGAAGAGCAAGGACAGGACCCAGCTTAAGGATGGGAAGGGGTTGAGTGGAAGCAGCGAGGTCGAGGAAGACAGTGGGAAGGGGGAACCCACAGCTAAAGGCTCTAGAAAGACGGCCACACTGCGCAGCACCAGTGGTGAGGAGAGTGACTTGGAGAGGGAAGTGAGTGACATCGAGGCAGGGGGCGGCCCCCAGGGGGAGAGGAAGAACCGCTCTTCCAAGAAGAGCTCCAGGAAAGGCAGGACACGGAGCTCCTCTTCCTCCTCAGACGGAAGTCCAGAGGCCAAAGGAGGGAAGGTGAGGGTGAGGCGGGGTGGGAGGCCACCATTAGGGAAGAGGGACACCCTGCCTCAGGCCCAGCAGGCTTTGCCTTCAGCTGCTGTCTTTCCTTGCTAGGCTGGCTCAGGTCGCCGTGGAGAGGACCACCCAGCTGTGATGAGGCTAAAGCGCTACATTCGGGCCTGTGGTGCCCATCGAAACTACAAGAAGCTGTTGGGCTCCTGTTGCTCACACAAGGAGCGCCTGAGTATCCTCCGGGCAGAACTGGAAGCCCTAGGCATGAAGGGTGAGGCCCGGCGTGCCCTGGGGGCTGCAGCAGAGGGCCTTGCTGCTGGGGAGGAGAGGATCACCAGCTTCTTCTACCCCAGGTACCCCTTCCCTAGAGAAGTGTCGGGCCCTGAAAGAGCAGAGGGAGGAGGCAGCTGAGGTAGCCTCCTTGGATGTTGCGAACATCATCAGTGGCTCGGGTAAGGGATTTCCTCTCACTGCCTGGGAGCAGATAGGTGAGGTTGGACATTCTCGGATATCTGATCTCTCATTTCCCCTTTCCCCTAGGCCGGCCACGCAGACGTACAGCCTGGAACCCTTTAGGAGAAGCAGCACCCCCAGGGGAGCTGTACCGTCGGACCCTGGACTCAGACGAAGAGCAGCCCCGTCCTGCACCCCCGGACTGGTCACATATGCGTGGCATCATCAGCAGTGATGGTGAGAGTAACTGAGCTCTGCCACCCTCAGGAAGGACCCTTGATCCATGTACAAAGCATACATAGCACCCCTTGCCCGGTGTCTGTGGAACAGAAGGAGCTTTCTTCAGAGAAGACTGCCGCTCCCGAGGACACAAGCTGTTGGGATGCTGCTTCTCAGCTTCACGCTCTCCATTTAAGGTGTTTATTTTGTAAGACTCAATAAAGGAGTGTTTGTAATCACCTCATCAAATCTGGTCCCCCATTCTCACCTCCTGTATTTTGGGCCAGGAAACAGAAGTCACTGCCTCCACCTCCTCCCCTAGCGTGGTTCCCTTTAATTTCCCCCGGGGTTCCTGGGAGAAGTCCCTGCCTCCAGACCCATTGGAGAAGGGTGTGTGGCTCCTGTGCTGCCAGCCTGCCCAGTGGCCCCTCTGCTTTTAGCCTGGCCTGATAACCTAATGCCCACTTGGGAGGGGGATAGAATGACTTGAGGGCAGCCGGTGCTTAAGCCTTCCCCCTTCTTCTGCAAACAGCCACTTTGTCCAGGGGCTGTTAGCCTCGAAGGGGTGGGGAAAAGCCCTGACCTCCTGGGCCAGTCCCAGCCTTCTAGGCCTCTGGCTACAGGCCCAGCCTGTGCAGTCACATGAGGTCTCCACTGAACTCTGGCTGCTGAGCCTTGTGGGAAGATGTGAGCATGGAGGTGCCTGGAGTCTGTGTGGAAAGCAAACCTAAGAATCTTTGAAGCCAAAGCAAAGAAAACAGGAATTAGAGGTCAAGGGGTTGAAGACCACCTTTGAGATCTGATCTGGTCACACCTGAAATCATTAAAATAACTGAAATGTTTAGATACACAGCCCAATAAATTCTCTTTTTTAAAAAAGTACAAGCAGTACTATTCACCGCCCACTGAGCAAGTCCTTCACGCACACCAAAAACAGAAAGGGTGAATCCTGAGGTCTGTTAGAATAACCAACAGTTTATTAAAAGCTTGCCTGGGGCTCTGTGCCAGCCCCACAGCTGAGAGGGGCTCCCACGACTGCCCCTAGGCCCAGGAGCAGACCATTCCCCAAGGTCCTTCCCTTGTTTCCCCGCCCCAGCCCTGATCCCAATTTAAAAAAAAAAAAAAAAAAAGGACAAGACGGCACAGGACGTCAGACAGTAACAGGGGAATGGGGAGACCCAGGCATCCTGACCCCAAGACCCCATCCTGATCCTTCTTGCCAGTAAGGTGGCCTCTCATTCTCCCCACCTCAGGCCCCAGATCTGCTCTGCCCCGTGGCAGGTCTGAGGGCCCCACTGTGAGGGTAGTATAGTTCTCTGAATATAGTATGTCTAGACCCACCCTTCCCCTCCCCCAGGGGACTAGATGAATATTTGACACGCACATCTCCCTCCTTTCCCAGGTGGCGGAGGGAGACCCTGGCACCATGGTGGGGAGGCGGGGCTCCCAGGCAGCCTTGAGGCACCTATCCCAAAGCTAGCCCTGGGCCACTGGCCAGCCCCAAGAAGCTCATGAGATGAGGAGGTGTGAGGGGAGCTGGAGCCAACATCCTGTCCTCTACCCTTGTGGGGGCCTCCAGCTCAGTGCCCTCCAGTGTCAGGCTCCACCCACCCCTGCCCTGCCCAGCTTATCTGCTCCTCCCCACTGCACTTCAGGAATAGAAGTGGGAAGAACCATTGAGGATGTGGGAAGCGACACTGGTGCTGCGACTCAGGGGCCCAGGCACCGCGGCAGCAGGGGGGCCCACGTTCTCACTGCCACTGCCCCCCGAGGCTGCCCGCCGCAGGGGCTGGGGGCTGTTTCTTAGCAGCAGCAGGGCTCCGCCACGGGGTGTCCCACTCTGTGTGGGGGGCCCTAGCCAGTTTGGGGGGCCTGGGGGAGCCAGCAGAGATGGCTGACGCCAGGCTGGAGGGGGCATGCCTGGTGGAGGAGGGCCATGACTCCAGTGTGCCCCGGAACGGGGAACGGGACGGGAGGGCCAGGCTGGGGCAGGGGGTGGAGCGGGATAGCCCTGGGCAGCAGCCTCGGCTGGGATGCCCCCCAGAGCCATGCTGGAGAAGCCCAGCCTCATGCTTTCCGCATCAAAGGCCTCGATCTCACGGGCCTGCCGCTCAAGCAGACTTCGGATTCGCTCAGAGCGCCCTGTCTGCAGGGCCAGCAGCTCCTCTTCCACCTGGGGCATCCGGAACAGAGGTTAGAGTCAGGGGCGGGAGCCTACTCTCCCTCCCCAGTCCTGGAGGCTGGGCCCCTTACCCGCTGCTCCAGCAGTGCCCGCCGCAGCGCGACCCTCTGCTCCAGCTCCCGCAGTTCCCTCTCATGCTGGCTCTCTGTGCGGATCTTGATCTTGCTCTGGTAAGCGTTGAGCAGCTCCAGCTCCTGTTGAAGCTGCTGCCGAAGGGCCTGGAACTCTGCCTCCTGGGTCTCATCAAGTCGTAGCTGGGGAAGATGAACAACCAGTTGTAGGAATCTCCTCCTCCACCCCCACTATCCTCCCCTGCCCCAGGTAGGGCTGGGCCCTAAGGTTTCAAGAAGCAGCGGTCTCAACATCTATCAGAATGGAAGATGGTCATACCCTGTGGCACAGCAATTACACTGCAGAATCTATCCCCCACGTATACTTGCACATGTGCTCGAGGTGTTCACGGAAGCGTTGTGATAGCAAAATACTGGAAACAACCTAAATGTCCACCAATAAGGGATGGGTTAAATAAATTATGGTGCAGCCATATTGTGGAAAATTCTACGCTGTAAAAAAAATGAGACAGGAGTACTGACAGGGGAAGATGTCCAAGAAGTATTAAGTGGAAAAAGGAAGTTAGAGAATAGTAAATGTAAAGTATGATTCCATCTGTGTTTAAAATTCATATATTTTTTCAAAATGTGCACTGAAAAAATACAAAATACAGTTAATTATTAACAAGTTGCCTGGGAGAGGTGGGACTGGGTGAGAGAACAGCCTTGGGTGGGGCGTTTCCACTCTCTACCCTCTCTGCACATTTTAAGTGGCCCATTCCAGTGTTAGGTGTGATCATTTTTTTAGAACAGCAACTTTCAAAATCCTCCAGAAGTCTGAGTAAATGGGCTTGAGGGCCACACTCACTTTAATCTGCACCCTGTTTATCCATTAAACTAACTCAGGGCCAGGAAAAAATAATAGCCACTCTTTTCCTTGGTGGTTCTTGGGAATAGGCACATGGCTTTGTCAAGACCTTAAGAAAATACTAAGAGAAAGAATAAAATCACTGAGGAGAATATGAAATAAATCATTGTGGAGAACACAAACAGAGGGAGAGTATGTGAGTTTCCCAAGTACAAAAGCCCTAGCTCTGTGCATGCCCTGCACCGTCCAATTCTCTAAAGTGAAGTACAGAGCCTGGCCTCTAGCGCACTCCCTCCCTGGACCCCAGGCCTCACCGCCTGTGAGCTGAGCATCTCTGAGATGGACTGGTCATACTGCTCGGCCAAGATCGCCAGCTTGCGGGTCTGCTCTTCCTTGAGCCGTTTAAGGAGGCTCTTGTGCTGAGCTTTGGGCGTGGTCTCCAGCAAGTGTGCTCGCAGAGCCTTGTACTGCCGAGTCTGGATCTTACACGTCTCCTGGAACTGCTTCTTGATCTGCAGCTCCTTAGACTATGCAGTGGACGGATCAAGGGGAGATGGGGGCAGCGGGGAAGAGGAGGAGGAAAAGGAGGAGGAGGAGGAACAACCAGGGAAAATGGGGAGAAGAGAGAGAAGAGGAGAGGAGACAGAAGCAGAGACAGGGAGAGGGAGAGAAACAGAAAACATGTTAGACAGAGGGGGTGGGGGGAGCTGTATACAGACAGACATGGAGAGGTGGGATCATGTTGAGAGAGATCAGGAAGGTCTCGATGGGCAAGAGATGCAGAGAAGACAAGAGGTTCCAAAGCACGTGCACGGAGTTGGGTGGGTGGGATACCCACGAGAAAACATCGGAGTTACTGGACAGGGAACTGAGGATCTTGGAAGCTCTGACCAGGCAAAGAGGGAGAGACTGTGACCTAGAGATAGAAGCACGTGAGCAAATATGAGAACGTGCACAAGAACAAGCGAGAAGAACCAGTCACACAAAACACCCGTGAAGAAAAAGCAACACAACTAAGGACAGACACAGGAAGTCCCAGGTCCAGCAGCTCAGGGAGGAAGGCAGGGAAGGAGAAGCACCGAGCTGAGAAATGGGTAAGAAGGGGCTGCCCCATTTTGGGCCACGGAGGAGAAAGGGACAAAGGAGGTGGCCAGAAAGGGCCTGACAAGTTCAACCGGCCAGCAACTGCCACCCTGACCAGATCCACATTCCAGCCCGGCCCCTCACACACTCAGCTCCCACTCCAGGCCCACACCCAATCCTGCTGCCACAGCCCTCATACTCCGCCTGGTTGCCCCCAGCTCAGCACCCCCTACTGTGGAGGGTCTGCAGCCCCGTCCCCCAACCCACTAGGGTAATGCCTGATGCAGGAGAGCAATTTGGCCCCCTGTAGCCGGGTACCATGGAGGGAACGGGTTGGGAGAAAATGCAGGGCATGAGGAGACCAAGGGAGTGGAAACTAAGACCTATGGAAGGAACCCGCAAACACGGGCTCTGAGGGACCAACAAGTTCGCTGAAGTTCTACAGGGGCCCAGACCCCAGAGCCGGTGGTGGTCATGGTGCAATGAAGCTATGAAGGCAGAGAGCATGAGGCTGAGTAGTGAGAGGGGCTGAGATAACGGAGATGGGGTGAAGAGGTCATGGAGCCGGGCCGAGGGTCAGCCTGGGGGCATACCGGGGAGGCTAGGCGGCAGGACAAAGCAGACAGAGGCAGCCTGGGCCAAAGGCACAGTTCCGCTCAGATATTTTATTTGTGTTTGTCTTTTTCTTTTTTTGGTGGGGGGAAGGGGACAGGTTGGAAGGGAGACAGAAAAACAAAATCAAAGAGGAGAAAAAAAAACATGACTCTTCCCACCCTCCACCACCCTTGGCCCCAGGTCTGAGTCAATGAAGGTGAGGATGAGCACACACAGCCAGGGAACAGCAATAACTTAGGGGAGGAGCGCCAGGAGAGCACAGAGTGACTGCTGGACTCCACGGCCGAGGAGGCTGCCTGTCTATAGGTCTGAAGGGCTGGGCCTGGGGTGAGTGAGTAAACTGAGGAAGGTGGGTGAAAAGAAAGGACTAAGGACTGGAGAAACTTCACTGAGTCGTGGGCGATAAAGTGCTCAATGCTCTAGATTTGGGCTGGAAGGATTGTAGTCAGCTA